TGAACCAAAAGTTCTAAGAATTTCATGTAAAATTTTTATTTTATTTGGAGTTGAGTTTATAAAATGGATTTTATTAAAAAAATCTGTAATGTTTCCGTGCATAAAATTTTTCAATATTAAAATATTCCTCAGACTTTTGGTTCAGTTAGAAAATAGTGCCCATAGAAGAAATTCCAGCAAATTTTAAGTATGTACCATTAGCCATTTTTAAAATATCATGCGCGCAACGTGACGAAACATTTTGTCACACAGCGGATTAAATTACAAAGATATTTGTGGCAACACAAACCTTCCGGTTACTAGTTTCCAAAGCAGCTATAGCAGCTGTAAAAAGTTGGAAGTAATTGCTTTTAAAATAAATAAAATACCCCACTTCTTGCAACAGTCACATATTCGAAGATCATAAGGGGTTTAAGGTGTATGAGCCCCCTTAAACTGATTTCGATTTAAATATAAGTTCGCACGCAATTATTTGACGATTTTGTTCTATTTACTATATGCAGGTAATTTAATTCATTTATTTTCGAGTATGGTTAACACCTATAAGCACACACCGATCCATTTGACAGATGGGCACTTTTGCTTTCTGTTATTGCCACTGGTTGATTGGTACTGAGGGAGTTTCTGAACTTTACATTACACGAGTATATAATATGTCAGTATTTGTAACAACAAGTTTTCTCCTTTTGTGAAAGTTTTAAAATTGTTATACATTTATTATCAGTAAAGTTTAACAATTTTTGTTTGTTAATTTAACTGTGCGCGCGCGATGACCGAAAGACGCTCTGACTTAAAAATCCCAAAACCTCAGTTTAAATACTGGCTACTCGTTTGCATTCTCGTGAGGAATACGGAAAGGAGAAGTTATAGTAAAGGCTGAAATTATAAATAACTTTTTAATTAGCATACAATTCCCCAAAACTTCACTCGTTATAATATCATATTCTGCAAATAATTTCATATCAGATAGAAAATAACATTGTGTATTTCCTTTTTGTCGCTAAAACCGCTACCTCATTTTCTGATGACTATCGAATAGTTTTAATTCAGTACGTGGACGTTGGACATGAAAAATAAAAAGATTATTGCTTACGTTAAAGGTGATTTAAACTAGGTCATACTTTAGCGCACACTTTACATTTTAAACGTTTTACTTTGCATATAGCACGGAGTCTGATATCACAAGCCATCACGCCCCCCCCTTAAGAAAATTTTCCGAGGATTGAAAGAGGAAATATTTACATAAAAAGTTTAATTCAATTATTTAATTTGGGTAATTTACAAGTACGTAACAGAATACGGCATTGTATCAGCACAAAAACACATTACGAATAGTACATATGTAATAAAAACAAACTTAGATGTAATGACGAGCAGAAATTTTGATGGAGTAGAAGTGTTGATCCATAATGAACAGGAAATTGAAGGCGGAGGCAGATTAAATCTTCATTTTTTACTTCCTTGTACGAAGTAAAAAGGAAGTATTGTAATCGCGAAAAGTTTCAGGCAGCATATTTCAACGAAAATATCCATTTTCACAGCTATCGAATGCAATTTAATGATGTTTTTGACTGATATCTGTACGTAAGGACAGAATAAAAGACTCATTTCCTCCAAAAAAAATTATAAAACTGCTTAAAAATAATTTTCTGAAGAGAATTTTTCGTGGCGTCTGTACGAACGTATGAGTGTACGTACCTCGCATAAGTAGTAGTAGCCTCAGAACGTTGAAATTTTGTATATAGGACTGCTATAACATGTAGATGTGCACCTCGTATTTTGGTTGCAATCGGCCGCACCAAACCTATATAAATATATTTATATATTTATCCACTCTGTTACCCGGCTCAGTGATCTCAGTTTCTTTACTCGCATATGTTTGTAAATTGCACATTTTTTGCTTTAAAAATGATTGAATTATGTTGTTTTTATCTTCCGGTTAAGGGTTTTTATGCCTTTTTAGTAAATCTGTATGCAATATTTTAGAATTATCAACAATTTTAAAGTTGTTTAAGTGCCGCTAGCCTTTTTTTTTATGGCGGCCATTGATTGTTTACATTTGAAATAGCAGACTAGTGGATTTTTTTGTTGCCAATCTAGAGAAAACTTAGCTTCGCAACAACAAAGATAACGCCTTCATTTATTATTGCGAATTAAATCATGTTTAATCCTTTCTGGAATTTTTTCGAGGAAATAAGTGTTTAAGATTTACTTCGTACTTTTTAATATAGATATTGAGTTTTTATGTATTTTTGCCTTCTCGCGAAGTGAGAACTGAATTAATTGAATGAGAAATAATCAATCGTCTGTGAAAAACTGTTTCTTTTTTGTTTTGTTTGCTTAATTTCTGTTATACATCATTCTAGCTTTATTATAGTATTTGAATAGAACATGTGGCAACGATTAGATAATTCTTTTCTTTAAATGATATAAATTTTGTTCATTTATAGTCTGAGTTATAATATGAACGAAATATAATACTGTTAAGTGAATCTAGGCCAGAGTGTCGCTATGGTAAACAAATACTAAAGTGAATTTTAAAGAATGCATTTATTCTATTGTGGTTTATGCACTGTCGGCGAAGTAGATTTAATTAAATCCAATAAGTTTAAATGAAATGCAAGAAAAAATGCATATAATTTAATATTACATACAAGGAAGTCATGTGGTGTACACATCAGATTTTTTTATTTCAGGAAACAGGCTGAGGCCACAATCAAGTTGGCACATTAACTGTGCCTTTTCCAAAAAGCTTACATTTTTAGATAAATTTGCATTAAGATAGAAGGAGCAGACAGACAGCATTCCAGCTAGGCCAAAACGTAGAAAGCAAGTGCGTAATGTTCAGGGTGAAATTTTAATTCAGACCGAGTTAGTTTTGGTTCTCAATGTATTTTGATTGGATAGTTAATATTGCTGTAAAATTACTATTGGCTGCTTGACATGGATTAACCTAGAAACTACGCAGTGCAAATAGAGGTTACTATTTTTAGAATAGAGAAGGGAAATTAATGTATGCTGCCAATTTAAGCTTTTAAATATTCTTTATTTTTCTTACTTATATATACTACGCATGCATCATTAAAGAAACACATTTTTTACAGTCTCCCGCACGCAGCAGTATGTGCGCCGGTCTAGAGGTTAGGGAAGCCTACTGCTATAAATAACACTGGTAAATAATGCCGCCCAGACGGTACAGTGGTTAGGGGAGGTAAACCGCTGAGTTGACTTCCGACCCAGGTATAGATATATGCATGCGGAATTGGTTACCAACAAGCGACCTTGAAACGCGAACTCAGGATAGCCTTAATTTATTTGCTGACTGGGTGAGTGTGTATATTTAATTACGGTAAAGCACACTGGGGCTATCTACCTAAGGGGAGGGATGCCTTCGTGGAGGACTTTCTAAGGGGAACTGTCTCGTATACACGTTACACATGGGGAAAACCACTGACTGACTGGGTGAGAGAGCATAAACTGAAACTCTCGGTGCCTAAAACACAAGCACTCATAATTAGTCGAGGCTCTCCATTGCGTAGAAACACCCCTGTCTTAAACTCTTGGGGTCCTCCATTAAATGTGTTAAATAAGTTAAGTACCTAGGAGTAGTATAATAGATAATAGACTTTCCTGGCAACCACACATCTCTTCTTTAAAGTTAAGAATCAATAGACTGACTACTTCCATGCGATCAACAACCTCGTTGAGATGGGGTATCCCATGTCACTTGCGTAGAATATGGTACAAGACAGTAGTGGAAAGAGTTGTTCTGTATGCCGCTGCTATTTGGGGAACTAACATCTCTTCCCAAATGAGACATTCACTACTCTCTATACAGCGACACCAGCTTCTTCTTCTCATTTGCAAGGCTTATCGTACCACGTCCACGGCAGCCTTACCAATTACTGCAGGCACGTCGCCTCTGGACTTGTTAATCGAACGAGAGGCTGTAGTGGTTAACGTAAGCAGACTACGTCACACCATGAGTCTCTGGGGACAAATTTATATCCATACTGATTATGAGCGTCATATACCGTAAGCTCCCTGCCACCCTGCTAAAAATAACCTTGTGGACACTATCTACTTTAACAGAACATAGGACTTGGGATTTGCAAATGGTGTTTTCATTGATGGCTCTAAAATTCCAGGGGGCACGGAAAGCAGTTTCTGTATACTTTCTGGAGGAGCTTTAACGTATGAGTGGAAAAGAAAGTGGTTAGGGGATCCTACTACGGAACCGAAAGACCTGGATTCGAATCCCGGAGAAGGCATGGATGTTTGTAAATGTATAGAGTCTTTGCGGCATGGGGTCACTCTATATATTTGGCGAGCCAGACTCTCGGACCCGTCTCCCTTGAGTGCTCTCCATCAAAATTGGGGGGGGGGCAGAACTGAGCGAAATGGTATTGTTACATGTATGGTGCTCAAGACTCTTGCCAAGTGAGATAAGTCATAACATGTGTTTCGTCAGAACTAACATTCAAACAGGGTTTCTCTGTAAGATCAGGTTAACAGGAAAAGGTCGCTGAACACTGAATAGTTAGATTGACTCGAAACCGAGCAAAGAGACTGCCACTCAGATTAATGTGAATAATAACTACATTCTGGTGCAGACATCGCAAATTTAAACATAGGAGATCACGTTTTCAAAACGCAACAAATTAAAAAACTGCTTAATATACGCAGTGATTTCATTTAGTATGTCAACCTCCCTCCCCGAAGAAAAAAGACAAAAACTAGAACTCGATTTTATAAGGTAATGTTGAAAATTAAAATTAACTTTAGAAAGAGATTACTACCCTCAAACACATGAACGCTTTTTACCGTCCGGCAAAATTCGGTAACCATGGTTACCAGTGCCGTTGCGGCCAGGCTCACCCTGGACGCAAGAAAACTGGTTCAGTAATTAATTAGAATGCAAAAGCAAAACAACATAAATTTACAGGATAAATCTTAAATATACTTTGAATTTAAAATTGTGATGAGTACTGAGAACTTACCGGTATTTACAATGCTCGAAAGTAATATTATTCCCACCGAAATCTTCATTTTTATATGCAGCGCCACCAATCATGTCAATTCAATTCATCGTACTGTTGTCGTCGAATGCATGAAGGCATACTAACACAAAATTACTTTCTGTAACATTTTCAAACCTTTCAGTGCTGCCATCTACCGAATACGGTTTACGACGAAATATGATCCGAGGCATTTTTTTAAAACTCATCGGTAAAATTTCTTTGCCATATCTAACCATCAATCACTGAAAGTGCAGCAAGTTTGTCACACCTAAGTTAAGTACGTCTTTCGTAGAGTTTTTTAAACTAAATTTAAAATTAGAATTAAATTAAATTATATGTAAAATTTAGTTTATATATATTTAATTATATATGAAATTTAGTTAGTTAACTAAATTTTATAGCTAGCTTACGAATATTACATATATTTATGCCTGTCTAACAGTTGGATGAGACTTGCCGAAAGAGCTTACTTTTACTTGGTCGGTGGTCGTATCGGACGTTAACATGGTTATATCCTAGACCGAGAAATATACCACTTGAGACAGAGCAAAGACACTTGAGACTTGTGTCTCAGATCAAAAACAAGAAGGCGCCCAAAATTAGCTATGAAAGTTCAAAAATTCATCTTAAGAAAGAAATTCTGATAATTAATTCTCAGTTTTGAAACGCATCAAAAAGCGCTAGAAGAATTTTTCGTTATAAATAATCCACATAATTTAAGAAAAGAATTCCTTATATTTATTTATTCTTTAAAGCAGCTAACGGGTAGCATCTGAAAAAAAAAAAAAAAAAAAAAACTCAAACCTTAGTATTAACTGAAAAACCTAGTAACCAATATATTTTTCAGTGATTATTTTCAATTTTCTCAATTAAAAATATAAAAAAAATATTTTGCCATTTGCACAACTTATTGGTTATTCGTATTTAAAGTGCACACATAAAAAATATTATATTGAAAATTTCTTACCATTTTAATTAGCAAAATTTAAGTTATATTAAAATAAAAAAAAATTAATATTCATTAAAATATTCTCAATAAGGAGCTTCAAAGAAAGTATAAACTTATCACTGGCATGTTTTACAAACTTTAAAAGTTTACTTGAAACACAACTCTCATCAAAATACTTCGCACATTTCTTGCATGTTAAATCCTGCCTTATTAAAAGTAAAAATTTCAAGAATATGCGAGGAAAAAAATAACATTATTACGACAAGAATTTGAAGAAAGATTTTAATGATTTGGTGTTCGATTTTATACTACTTCTATTACCATTAAAAACCAACGAATGTGAAATATACGAATGTGAAAAATAGGTTTACTTACTCAGTTCATGCATTTTTAAGTGCAAAGGTTTATTTTAAATTTTATTTTCTTAAATGTTTTTTATATACTTTTATGCCTTTTTGATGAGTTTGCTCGAAATAAGAAAGAAACTGCAATAAAACAGCAAAAGTTTGTAATTTTTTTTGTATTTCCAGGAGAAGTTGTATAGAAATCAAGAACAGCTTTTGATTCAGCTGCTTTTGTTTGGGACAATCTAGTCCAGTTTATATTATGAAAGGTTGGTTTATTAGAATACGGCAAAGCACTCGAGGGCTATTTGCCTTAAGGGAGGGATGCCTTCGTGGATAACTTTTAAAGGGAAACTGGCTCGTATACACGTTACACATGGGTGAAAACCACAAAAACACCCAAGCAGCCAGCCCGTTCGCGGGATTAGAACCTCGGACCAAATTACCAGTGTTCAGCGACGTTACCGCTCGGCCGCTGGTGGGCTATTATGAAAGGATTCATTGAGATTGTGAATTTTGCCTTTTGTGCACCCTTCGAAAAGGGAATACTCTGCAGATTTATGATACGGAAAATAATTTAAACGTCTATTAAGAGTTCTTTAGGTTACAAGTTAGTTTATATTTTTTTCATTCAAGCTGAAGTAAATCCGACTTCAAAAAGTGAATACGAAATTTCAAAACTCTGTATCAAAATGATATTTTCATAAAACAGAAAGAATTATATGAATGTCGAACAGAGATATGCATTCACTCAAAATAAAAAACATTAAATAAATCGCTTCAATTAAAAAAATGCCGACATTAAGGGGACTCGTACTGCTTAAAACCCATAAGATTTTCGAATATGTGAGTGTTGCAAGAATTGGGGGATATTTTCGTTGAAATATGCTGCCTGAAACTTTTCGCGATTACAATACTTCCTTTTTACTTCGCACAAACTTCGCACATAATTTTAAAAGCAATTACTTCCAACCTTTTACAGATCACTACATAATATAGCTGTTTTCTGAAATAGTGATCAGAAAGTTTGTGTTGCCACAAATATTTTTATAATTTAATCCGCTTTTTGACAAAAGTTTTCGTCATGTTTCCACCTTGCGCGCACAGTTTAAAACATTCTGTTGCATAATTTAATTCCATATTTAATATATAGCTTTTATACCATTTGGAAACTACTGTGAACCAAAACATTCTAAGAATTTCATGTTAAATTTTTATTTTGTTTGGAGTCGAGATTATAAAATGTATTTTATTAAAAAAACCTGTAATGTTTTCGTCCATAAAATATTTAATATTAAAATATTCATCAGATTTTAGGTTCTGTTAAAAGACAGGGCTCATATAAAGAATTCCATCTAATTTCAAGTATGTACCATTAGCCATTTTTAAAATATTGTGCGCGCAAGGTGGAAACCTGACGAATATTTTGTCACAAAGCGGATTAAATTACAAAAATATTTGTGGCAACACAAACTTTCTGATCACTATTTCAGAAAGCAGCTATATTATGTAGTCAGCTATAAAAAGTTGGAAGTAATTGCTTTTAAAATAAATAAAATATCCGAATTCTTGCAACAGTCACATATTTGAAGGGTGTTAAGCGGGTCTAAGGTGTATGAGCCCCCCCCCCCTTAAAAGATATGATGGAAAGTAGAGTAAACGAAATTTTAGCAAAGCATCAACCTTGTGTTTGACTAGGTTTGGTCAATAACAAGTCCTTCTTCGTCAGGAGCAAAGATATTTATTGTGTCTGATGAAGAGGGTTCTGTACCTCTTGCCCACGAAATCAACCGGAGTTATTGAGTCAGAGCAAATTTCTTTGCTCTAGATGAAGAGAGTACTTGTTTGCTCTCTAACTCGATAGAGGTCATGACTAAATCTACGCTAAGCACAAGCTTTGCTAATTTTATGTTTTACTTTAATTTTATGTTTTATTTTTGTGTAATTCTGTTCTGCTTTATTTAAAGTTTTGTATAGATGCTGTCTGCTTCCCTAGTACTTTTAAATCTGGTCAGTTCTCTCGAGGGTAAAAATATAAAATTATAATTCTTACGAGACTTTCTGTCTCGGAATCTGAATGGTGTCGTTTGTAGTGTTGGTGAATATGCTAATACCAAAAAATTACCCTATTAAAACAATCTGATGTGTACACCCCATGATTTCCTTGTACGAAGTATTAAATTATAGGCATTTTTTCTTGCATTTCATTTAAATTTATTGGATTAATTAAATCTGCTTCGCCGACAGCGCACAAAACACAATAGAATAAATACATTCCTTAAAATTCACGCTACTTGTTTACCATAGCGACACTCTGGCGCTAGGTTCACTAAACAGTATTATATTTCGTTCATATTATAACTCAGAATGCACAAAATTTATATCATTTAAAGAATTATCTAATCGTTGCCACATGTTCTACTCAAATACTATAATAAAACTAGAACGATGTATAAAAGAAATTAAGCAAACAAAACGAAAAAGAAACAGTTTTTCACAGACGATTGAGTATTTCTTCATTCAATTAATTCAGTTCTCACATCGTGACAAGACAAAAATACATAAAAACTCAAAATGTCCGTATTAAAAATTATGAAGTAAATCTTAAACACTTATTTCCTCGAAAACATTCCTGAAAGGATTAAGCATGATTTAATTCGCAATAATAAACGAAGGCGTTATCTTTGTTGTTGCGAAGCTAAGTCTCTCTAGATTGGCAACAAATCCACTATTCTGCTGTTTCAAATGTAAACAAGCAATGGCCGCCATCAAAATAATTATTAGGCTTAAGGGCACTTAAACAACATTAAAATTGTTGATAATTCTAAAAATATTGCCTACAGATTTACTAAAGGCATAAAAACCTTAACCGGAAGATAAGAACAACATAATTCAATCATTTTTAAAGCAAAAAGTATACAGTTTACAAACATATAAGAGTAAAGAAAATGAGATCACTGAGCCGGGTAACAGAGTGGATATATTTTTAAATATATTTATATACGTTTGGTGCGGCCGATTGCAACCAAAATACGAGGTGCACATCTACATGTTATAGCAGTCCTATATACAAAATTTAAACGTTCCGAGGCTACTCGTTTTTGAGTTATGCGAGATAAGTACGTACGTATGTACATACGTTCGTACAGATGCCACGAAAAATTCTTTTCAGAATTCATTTTAAAGTAATTTTATAATTATTTTGGAGGAAAAAGGAGTCTTTTATTCTGTCCTTACGTACAGATATCACGCAAAAACATCGTTAAATTGCATTCGATAGTGGTCAAAATGGATATTTTCGTTGAAATATGGTGCCTGAAACTTTTCGCGATTACAATACTTCCTTTTTGCTTCGCACAAGGAAGTGAAAAGTCGGGGTTGAAAGTACGAAATGCGAACATACTGAATTGAAAGTGGAACATACTTCGGATTAACTTCGAAATATCATTTTGAATATTCGTGAAGCAAAACGTGTTATAAAGCCCACCAGCGGCCGAAGGGTAAAGACGCTGAACACTGGTACTTCGGTCCGAGGTTCGAATCCCGCGAACAGGCTGGCTGGTTGGGCGTTTTCTTGGTTTTCCCAATGTGTAAGTTTCCCTTAGAAAATCCTCCACGAAGGCATCCCTTCCTTCAAAATTGAATAATCCATTCCAATACAACGTGTTAATAAAACTTCCTATTCCTAATAAGGAAAAAAATCAGCACGTTTAAGATAGGGTGATTGGGATTTCACCATAACTAGAAATTAATCTTTCTGAAAATATTTGCAAAACATTCATGCATGCTTT